TGCCTGTGTTCTCCTCTAGGATTTTGATGGATTCCTGTCTCACATTTAGGTCTTTCATCCATTTTGAGTTTATCTTTGTGTATGGTGTAAGAAAATGGTCCAGTTTCATTCTTCTGCATTTTTAAAAGTATACTGTCATTATTAAAAAACAATGACATACTTTTAAAAAAATTTTACACATTTCACTTAGAATCACACTTCAAAGACTTTAATAGCTGCCTACTATTTTTTTCTAGAACATCTAGAATTGTTATAAGAAGAATGGGATGGAATTGGTTAAGACAGCCTGTTCTTTCATGGTTGTTGGCAAACTTTAGCTCACGCCCAAGGTTTAAAAATATCAGTTGCTGGGAATACTGATTTTCATTGATCTTTCACTGTCTGTGTTCACAATTAGTAGGAACATGAGTTGTACTTCCCAATGCTACCATCTGTGGTTTCTAAGCAAATTACAGGTAAATGTGCTTGGAGATGTAGTCCTATAATGGAAGATGTGTACTTCTCTAGCTGCAAGTTGTTCTTGGCTAAAGACTCAGAGTAGAAAAAGTAAACCTGGGCACAAAGTTCTTTGTTGGAAAGCTCTGAGAATTGTGTGATTGTGTTCCACTCTCAAAACTAGGGCTTTGATCAGCGCTGACAGGGATAAAGATGTGTCATCTAAAAGTTAAACTAGCAAAAATCTACGCATAATGGAAAGATTGGCTGTCTGTAGGGGTAACCTAAAAAATTGTATAGGTGAGACTGAGGGTTTTGGGAAATACCCAAATGCTATAATTGAAGTAATAACTATTACCTCAAGGGAGCAGGGGTAGAATAAGATTATAATAGAGAAAAAGGACAAATGAATTGGCCTTGGTAAACACCACTTCCTAAACATACTCTAAAGAATATGTCAACAAAAAGGAGGCTGCTCAGTAGGGGGTCATTATTATGGCACAATTAGCAAAATTACCCAGCACTGTTTTGTGTGTGTGTTGGTAGGGGGAGGGTGTAATGGATAGAGACTGAACCTGATGGACAGGAAAGTTCCAGTCAGTCACTAGAGATGGGGATTTGGTTATGGGGTAGGATTGTGATTTTAGTTGGGTTTCACCATGGCCTGAATGACTTAACCCTCAGGATCTCTCTCTGCTCTTATCTGATTTTGTGCCCATCAGTGAACATTCTGGTTAGTCATCTGGTTCCTGATATCCTGATAATGTGAAAGAGTCTGACCTAGGAAAGACCCTCACTGTAGATGAGTAAACTGGCATGCCTGATTATGCACCTAGCTTTTGGAAATCCCTTGGTGTGAGTTAGCATCAGTGGATCCAAACAATTCTGTCTGGCCTGACTAAGCACACACTCAGACTTCTAAAGCTGAAAGGCAGGGAGCAGCCAGCCTCCCAGGGAGGCCTCAGAGCTCATCACATCAGTAATGGCCCAGTCCAATCAGGCCTAATTAAATTCACCAGGAGAGGAAATACTCTAGATAAAGTCAAAGCCTGGTATCAGAGAAGTCTGGCTGCTAGCCATTGTCCCAATAGGAACCATGTTAGGAACTCTAAGAAGGATAGGACAGAAACCTAGTGAGTGGAACTGCTATAGAAGCACAGATTTGTCACAAAGGGATAGATTCAGAACTTGCAAGATGGCTGACTTAAATGTGGGATATCAGGTTAGGTTTTTGAATACTTACTTTCTCTGCTCAGGAGTGAGATTGACCCTTGAATCTAGAAAACGGGTGGAACTACAGAAATGGATTAAGGCTTTATAGGTCTATTTTTGTTTCTAGGGACTGAGAGGGGAAAAAAGCTTAAGCACAAAAAAGTTAATTGACTCATTTGGAAAAGTTGGAGGCTAATATTGGCCTCAGGCACAGCCTAATGCATGGGGCACAAATGATGTCACCAGGACCTATTTTCTCTCAACTTGTCTCTCAAATAGATGCATGTTGCCTTGACTCCCATACAGATTCTCTCCTGAGGACACAGCCTGGCAGCGGCTACTCTTAGTCTTCCATTCTCACCACCTTGGATTCAATAGAAGAGAGAATCTCTTTCACAGAGCCTTTTAATGATTCCTTAACTGTAAATGGGTAACTTGCCCATTCTTGAACCTACCATTTGGACCAAAGAAATGTGATTCTCTGACTGGTCAATGTCTGAGTTATTTGATGACTCCTGAAGCCAAGGGTGCAAATGCCCTCATTAGAAAGAAGTATCATGGCACCTTGGCCATAGAAGTAGGAATCTGCTAACGAGTGTGTAACAACTCACCTGCCCAATCAACTAGGACTGAAAATGGATGGCATTGGAGGTTCAGACCCATACTCAGCCATTGCTAGCAGTAACATGAGCAAGAGACATGAGAGCAAATGGGCCTCCCACCTCCGTGCCTCCCTTCCCATCACATTATGTTCCTGATGACAACTATCACAATAGATTTACATTTTCTTCATTAGTTATTCAGTTCTCAGATGTTTATTGAACACCTACCCCAAACCCAGAATTGTGGGATGTATTAGAGGGAAAAATCCACAGGTGGAAAGATATGAGCACTTTTCACATGAATGGTTACAGAAAAACAACTACCTTTTATTTCTGATATAATAATATTAAGTCACACATAGTATGCAGTGTGCAACCTTTGCCTTATAGTTAGGTTAAAGGATGGGGTTGATGGTCAGAATAGTTGATTGTAGTGAAGACAAACCATTCTTTTTTTTTTTTTTAAGATTTTATTTATTTAATTGTCAGAGAGAGAGAGAGCACAAGCAGGGGGAGCAGCAAGCAGAGGGAGAAGCAGGCTCCCTGCTGAGCAAGGAGCCTGACGTGGGTCTAGATCCCAGGACCCTGAGATCATGACCTGAGTCAAAGGCAGACACTCAACCCATTGAGCCACCCAGGCATCTCAAACCATTTGTTTTTAAGAAAATAATTTGTATTTTTAACTATTCCCTAATTAGTCAATTAAATGTTGATGGCACTATTTTATATATAAGGATATTGATGACCAATCACAAACTAAATCAAAAAGAGAATTATTTTACGACCCAGAATTTCTTTAGTTTTTAGTCTTATGTTCATTCACTTTTTTTTTCTGAATCTCACTGGCTGAAACTTTAGCTTTTAAGATATAGTCAGAAAGCAACAGTCAACAAAACCAAAAGACAACCGACAGAATGGGAGAAGATATTTGCAAATGACATATCAGATAAAGGGCTAGTATCCAAAATCTATAA